GACTGGCTTGGGTCAGGGTATGGGCGTCCCGTCTAGGTCGCCAGTAACTTTCACTTGGCTCGCAGCGATCAACGACGGGCGTTGCAGCCCGTGTGATGGTAACAACAGAGGCAGGTGGAGATCTGCGGCCAACATTGCAGGCATGAGTGCATGCGATTGTTGATGTAGCACAGTGATTCGACAAAGTGCCGTGGCTATGGCTGCTGCGCGCGGGGATCCAGCAAGGCTTTCCTGGGCCACTCCTCCTCCTCGCATTTAGGATATATATATATATATATATGTCCAGCAGGGACGTTTGGTATGGGACAATTGCTACTCGGACGTTGTGTATACGCAGTGTGGGGTGCTACCAGGATGCTCGATGGCCATGTTCGCGTTGCAGTGCATAATGATCGCCCCCTTCGATCATCTCACACGCACCACTATGGACATACCACGTAGCATCGACGTGTATGCGGACGACATTACTGTGCACATATATGGCGTACTACGACACATCGGTTCATGGTCCCAGAGGGTTCTACGGCTGTTGGTGCATATCCTCAAGGCCCTAGGGCTCCCTCCAGCTGCCCGCAAGATGAGGCTCACTAGTTCCATTCCTGCGTTGGGAAAAAATGTGTGGCCTATCAACTACGGGGTCTTGGGTACGTTTACGTGGAGGCTTTAGGGGTTCTTGGAATCGGGGTCTCGGGACGCCCTGTTTACGACTTCGATAGCCGTCGGAAACCGTCGTGAGTGGTGTCCGTGGCCACGGTCCGCCGTGCCCGCGCTTTATCCTCAGCTACACTGTGCTGGTTCCTTCCTCAGTGGGGCTCCTCGCCCACAGGCAGGCTCTCCCACCAGCCTTGACCTACAGGCTAGGCGTGCATGGAGCCCCCCCCCCTCCACGACTTGTCGAACAAATGCGGCAGGCGCAGCGAGGTGTGTGGCACGCCCCAGGCTCCAGCACATCGCGTTGGATCACATCATGCCTAGTGCTGGATCACATCATGCCTACAGGGATTTATTTTCACTGCTCCCCAGGTGGAGGCCTGGGCCGCGCCGTTGCACCAGTGGCCCCTTTTGTTTCGCGATCCGCAGGTGCCCCACTGTGTCTTGCAGTCAGCATGGCTTCGCCAGATCCAGAAGATCTATCACTCTCCCCACCCGTGGCGGCACGTGTCGGGTCCCGCTGGTGCCACAGTGCTTGCACTACGAGAGCTCGGTTGGGCCACGATCAGCAGCACTGTTTGGAGGACGGACCTAGGGGTTCGGATCAACGTTCGTGATGAGGCGCCGTCCACCATCCGTCAGCTTGCTAGAGATGCTGGAGTGCGACGGCTATGGGAAAAATGGGCCCGACGGCCACCTCTCCCAGGACACGATGCCATTCCTCGGGAGCCTATTGGATATTGGATTGAGCCAATATCGCAGATCCTATCCAAGGTTGAACTACACGAAGGTGACGATTCAGGGAATGAGGCCGGGCAAGGCGATCCCGATCGCGAGGATGATGCATGCCCGACCCCGCCCCCTGTTGGACCCAACCCTTTTGCTGACAAGTGGAAGCCCTCCCTCAAAGAAGCAGGCCTCTTACGTGCGTATCTGGGAGGTGGTCTTTGGAGCCCATCAAGGCTTGCGAAGTGTGGATACAGGGACACAGACACATGCCCTCGGTGTACGGCGGCATCATGTGATTTGTATCATAGTGTGTACGAGTGTCCAGCACTGCATACACAGCGTCAGCTGCACAGGTCTCACATTCGCACGGAGGGATTCCCTAGGCAAGTGCGTGACTCTATGTTATGGCCTACAGGACTCGTCTCTCGCTCATGCTTCCCACCGCTACCACCACGGGACAGCACTGGGCACTGGCACATCCAATACGGCGACCCGCAAGGTATCACAGGAAACGTGTACACAGATGGTGCGTGTCAGCGTATGTGGTACTGGCCTGAGGCCACACGTGCAGGCTGGGGTTTCTGTCAGTTGCGTGAGCCGCCTCCAGGGGTAGATATTTTTGTGTTTGGGCTCTCCCGGGCCCCATACAGTCCTCGCCCAGGGCCGAGCTTTTCGCTTTCCCTCAGGTCCTCCAGGTCTGCCTCCCCCCCCGTTTGTGCGCACGCCGACTTCAATGGCATGGTTGACGGCCTTGCCCTTGGAGCCCGATGGCGCTGCTCGCCTCGGCGTTAAACGTCGATCTTTGGGAGCGCATATGGGCCAAGGTTTCTGATCTGGGCGAGGTGGGGTCTGATGTGAGAGTTACCCTAGTTAAAGGGCACCAGCAGGGCCAGAGCACCGATGCACGAGGCAACCGGTGGGCCGACCTTGCTGCGCGCAATGGCAGAGACCTCCACTCCATCCCCAGAACGCAGGTCAAAGCTATGAAGCTTGGCCACCAACATTACACTCGCATCCTGCGATGGAGTACTACTGCCCTGGGGCTTTTCTTTGGCGAACAGCGGGTTGACACTCGGCCCCGCAAGAAAGCCTGTCGGCGCCCTCGGCGAGCCACGGCCCCTCTGGAGCCCAAGGAGGAATCGGTTCATCTGCGCCATGTTTTCACCCAGGTCCCCCATCGCAGCATTTGGAGATGCGAGTTTTGTAGGAAGGGCTCGAAGCTGGACAGGACCCGTCGTCGTCTCTCTGAGCTTGCCTGCCCTGCTCGTTTGCGTGCTGCTGTCGCCATCCCTCGGCGCCCCTCCACTGTCACTCCTCCTGGGCACGCTGCGCGCGCCCAGGCTGACAATGAAGGGCAGATGCCGACGAATGAGGGCAGCAGCTTCGGTGCTGCCGTGCGATCTCGCTCCCCCTCGGACTCGTTTCGATCGGCGCGCCCTCGGACGGAGTCCCCCACGCGTGGCCAGGTGAGTGTCCAAGGGGAGGCGGATCCCCCCCCTCCCTCCTCGGGCCTGGGTAGCCCTTCCTCGCCTCGCCCCCGTAGCCCCTCCCCTGGCTTTGAAAGGCACGTCAGGCCACGCGTGGGCTTCGAGCCCGTCGCTGTTGCCTGGGATGGACCTGCGAGTGTCCAGGCTGATGCCACTGCCAGGGTTCTTTCTTGTCCAGAGCGCTCGGGACCCACCTTCCTCCCCGACAAGCGGGGGCGGATCGGCTCCAAGCGCCCAAGTCGGCCCTCGCTGGCCGACACGACAGTACCAGCCGAGCCTATGCCAGGAGCGGGCTCCGTTCCTGCCACGGCCGCTCGCGGCCACAGACTCTGGGTTTCCTCGGGTCATGTTTGCCTGTGCGTTTCCTGTGGGGCTTTTACGACGGGCACGGCTGGTCACCTCCTAATTGGTTGCCCATCGGGAAGCACGCACCGCCTGTCAGAACGGGCGGCGCGTAACCGACGCCTTTTCACGCAGGGCTTTCATCCTGCGGGCGAAGGAATGGAGGGCTCACGTCGAGTTCCCGCACCTCGTCCGCTACTCGTCTCAGACCCTGGGGCTCACTGTGTCAGGCTCCACGGGAGCCCACCTTCTCACCCAGGCTGCGGGACTTAACCCCCCGTCTCTTTGTCTGTGTGGCTGGTACCCGAGATCCTCTCGGTGGGGTCCCAGCCTCTTCACAGGCCAGCCAGGCTGCCAGCAGCTTGGCACCCTTGGTGGGCGTTCGTGCACAGCGCGACGCTTCCCTCGGCAGTGCCGTATCCTCCTCCTCCTCCTCCTCCTGCTCCTCCTCCTCCTCCTCCTCCTCCTCCTCCTCCTCCTCCTCCTCCTCCTCTTCCTCCCTCTCCTCCTCATTATCCTCCTGCTGCTTCTCCTCCTGCTCCTCCTCCTCCGCCTCCGCTTCCGCCTCCTCACTCCTCACGCCCCACGCCCCACTCCTCACTTCTCCTCCTCCTCCTCCTCCTCCTCCTCCTCCTCCTCCTCCTCCTCCTCCTACTACTACTACTTCTCCTCCTCCCCGCCACTCCTCATTCCCCACTCCTCATCATCCCTCTCCCTTCGCCCTGGTGCTGGCGCCCTCGCGGTCTTCGTCGTCGTCGTCGTACCTCGTCGGGGGCGAGCAAAAGAGCATGAGGACTCCGAACCTCCGAAGGACAGTTGTTTTCAATTCGAGCGTTTTCTTCCCCCCCCCCCCCGTCCTGGCCTCCGGGGTGCCGCACTTGGGCCCAGGGTCAGCCACGTGCAGAGGGGGGTAGTGGGAGGGGGGAGTGTTCCTTAGACGCCCCCCTGCTTCTTAGAAGGCGCGGGCATTATCTGTAGATGTAAGACCCGCGCCTTCTAGGAAGCAGCCTCCTTCCAAGAAGCCTTCACCTCTCCCCCTACCCCCTTGCGCGTGCCGCCAAATCAAGAGTCAATCCAGGACGCTAACCTGCCCCGGGGGGAGGAGGAGCTGAGAGAGTTCTGGGGGCGCGGATGGAAAATACATCGTCGACTGTTGCTTTGTTAGTGGGGTTGGGAGGCGAAAGAGAAGGCCTGTCGGTGGTCTTCGAAGACTGCCGGAAGTTTTCCGGGTGCCCAGAGGAGGACAAGGAGGAGGAGAAGAAGGAGGAGGAGAAGGAGGAAGAGGAGGGGGAGGCCGAGGAGAACGAGGAGGAAGAGGGGAGGAGGAGGAGGAGCAGGAGGAGGAGGAAGAGGAGGAAGAGGAGGAAAAAGGGGACCGCGGCAAAGGGACCCGCGGTGCCGCCGGAGGAAGAGGAGGAGGAGGAGGAGGAGGAGGAGGAGGAGGAGGAGGAAGAGGAGGAGGAGGAGGAGGAGGAGGAGAGGGCCCTCGTGGGCCCGAGCCGGGCCCCCTCGCGCGGCTGGCCCGCGGGCCGGCCCCGCGCGCCCCGCCCGAGTGGCATGCACGGGTCGCCTCGTGCTTGCCGACCGCGGCGCGTTGCGGCGATGGCCGCCGCGGCGCCCCGGGGGCGTGAGCGGGGCTGCGCCGGGCGCGGGCGCCCCCCGCCTGCCCTGCCTCCCTCCCCCTCCTCGCCCTCCCTCCCTCCCCTGGCGCGCCCTGTCTCCCCTGGCCCTCCCTGGCCCTCTCGCGCCCTCCCCCTCTCCCCCTCGCCCTCCCTCCCCTGGCCCTCCCCCTCTCCCCCTCGCCCTCCCTCCCCTGGCGCGCCCTGTCGTTTTCGTCCGTCCTCTGTCGTGTCGTCTGGCGTTCGTCGTGCCACTGGGCTCCCGCGTGCAGGTGGGAGAGTGTACGGCCCCGCCTCTGGATTATCGGGGCATTCCTCGGAGCCCTTGCGGGGCGGCGGCGACCGCGCCCGCTTCGCGGGCAGAGAGAAGACAGATGAGAACCAAACGCGCTGCAGTGCGCCAAGCACTAGTAGCCACCTCCCGTCTGCGAGAATGTATCGGGCCACGGGCACAGCAACTCCCAGAACACGATGCAGACCGAGAGCCTCCGCTGCTGATGCTCCGAAAGCTGGTGGCGGCAGTGCGGCGGATTGACGTCGAAATCAAGGCATGGGGCGACAGGCGATTCCATGCTGCGTGCCGAAGCGCCCATGTACACACCTGTCGGAGTTGTCGGAGTGCAGAACGTTCTGGCCTAGAGTCTGCGATCAGACACAGCCCTTTTCAGGACAGATCAGACATCGATAATTTGGGCCATGAAGAAAGCGGGTTTCAAGAATTATGGATTCAAGAATCTGGGTTCGTTGCGAGGTTTGGCCATTGGGCCAGCGAGTCCGAGCGCTGCGCTGAGGAGCGCACCCACGAGAGCGAGCAGGAGAACCTAAACAGCGCGCTGTCGTCATCAGCAATATGTGACATTCCAGTGCGAGAAAAGACGCGCATCCAGACAGCGCCAGCTACAGGAAGCGACGTGTGAGAAGCAGCAGAAGCAGCGGGCAGTGGCGCAAATCTGGGAGCCCACATGTCATCTACTACAGGGCGGGAAGTGCGAGAGCAGGCAGCGGCCACGCCTAGTGGCGAAGCCTGCAGGTTCATCGCGCGAGAAGCGGCGGCAGCCGAAGCGGGCGGCGAAGGGAAGCAGCAGGCGAGACGCAGGGTCTCGTTCGCGCCGACCGCGAGGCTCCGGGCGGCGAGGACGAGTTCAGCGAGTTTGGCAACCACCTGAACGACATCCTCTGAGCGGGCACATCCGTCGAAGGGCCAAAGAAGGAGGAGGAGGAGGGAGAGGAGGAGGAGGAGGAGGAGAAGGAGGAGAAGGAGGAGGAGGAGGAGGAGGAGGAGGGGGGCGGGGAGGGGGAGGAAACGTTGGAGGAGTAGGGTTTGTTTCTTTCGAGCACGATCGCCACGCTGCATGGTTGGAGCACGCCGAAAGTGCCAGGCATAACTGCCTGCAGGCAGAAATTCCTACCTGCATGCTCGGTTCCTTCCCGCCTTGGGAAGGCTACTAAAGGAGCAGGACAGTCGAGCGTCCTTCAGAAACGCTGCTTGGCAACAGAGTCGGCATCACCAGCACCTGTCCGGGGTGCCCCCGAACGGAGCACAAGCTCCTCAGGGGGTCGCGCCTCATCCCCAGGCTCCCTAATCCCATTATTCCCCCCTCCTAGACATCCCCCCTCCTCCCCTCCCCCCTGCCCCTTCTCCATCTCTTCCCCTTCGTCCAAGAAGCGATCGACTGGCCTTCCCATCCCGCCACCGTGCCCCGGCTGCCGGTATGAAGCCTATTGGATGTTCGTTGGGATATCGTGGGGGCCTCTTGGACGCAGTCTGGACGGGGCCTCTTTGGGCCTCCTGGGGCCGCCTGTTTGAGGCCTCCTGGGGGCCTCTTTGGGCGGAAGGCTCGGATTGTCGGTTCGTGTTCCCTCTTTTGGACCCGTTTTGGAGCCCTTTCGGGGCCCTCTTCGGCCGTGTTGGGCGCCTTTTGGGCTGTCTTGGGGCCCTCGCGGGCCGTTTGGGGGCCCCCTTGGATGCCTCTTGGGCCGTCTTGGGGCGGTCTTGGGGACCTCCAGTGCCGTCTGGGAGCGTCGGGAAGCCGAAAAGGCAAGACCGCCCAAATCTATCAAACACCTGCGGCAAATCAAACGAATGGTTTTTGCGATTTGGGCCTCTTGGGGCCCTCGTGGGAGGCCTCTTGGAGGCCTCTTTGGGCGTCTTGAAGACCTCTTGGGCCCATCTTGGGCGTCTTGGAGCGATCGTTTGGCGACTCGGGGCCTTCTTGGACCGTCTGGGGGGGTTCTTGGGGCCCTGTTGGCCCGTCTTGGGGCCGAAAAAGTCACGCGGGGAACCGCGACAAGCCCCAGGAGATTTGGGCCGAGGCGCTCCGAACCCTTTCTAAGAACTCCTCAGAAGGGGCGACTGAGGCCTAGAGGGGATTGGACAAAGGACCCGAGGACACGCCCACCTCCGTGCCCAGCGGCGCGGTCGCGGGCATGTCGGAGAGCCGGGTGAGTCCACAGAGCGGGAGTCACGGGGGGGACCCAAGGGGGAAGCGCAAATTCTCCAACCGTGTGCCAGCTGATTCCCGCGGCGAGCTCGAGCAGTGCGCTCGCATGGTTTTCGCCGATATTGCCGATGAGATCGAAGCGCGGGCCCCACCCCTTCGCCATGGGCGCCGCCCCCAGCTGACTGGTGATCCCCCCATGGCCGAGGCCTCATCCGCGGACGTCCCATACGCGGCCGACTTCGAAATGAAGTGTAGGAGCCGTGCCCTGACTGCCGGGGCCCACCCTACAGCAGGGCCCTCCTCCTCCTCCTCCTCCTCCTCCTCCTCCTCCTCCTTCCCCTCCTCCTCCTCCTCCTCCTCCTCCTCCTCCTCCTCCTCCTCGTCCTCCTCTAAGCCCTCCTGAGGCCTAGCTTGGCGCCTCCTGGAATGCCTGGGGGCCGTCTGGGCCGCTTCTTGAGGTCGTCTGGGAGCCGCCCCGCGACGGGGCCGCGCGCGGTTCATGCCTCCATCCAGGAGGGGAAAAAGCACACAGACACAATGAATCCTCGATTTCCCAGAAAACATGGGAAAATATGGGGAAGTGGGAGGGAAGACAGAAACCCTGAAAATATCGGAAAATATGGGGAATCTTTTTATTTTTGTGTGTGTGTGTGTGTTCATTTGTGTGTCCTGGGGCCCCTTCATTCATGAGGGAAATTGGTCCTGGAGGTTTGGGGCCGTTTTCGGGATCCCGGGGCTTTCACCAGGCCCCACGACCGTCAGAAAGCGATTCGGGATGAAAAGCTGGTCTTGGGGAAAGGCCCCAGGGCTCAGGACCCATCTCCCTCGGGACCCGCTTGCTGCATGCCACGGGACGCCAGCAACATCTAGAACAAGGCTCCAGCTCTTCCCTGTAGCAGTCCCAAGGATTAGTTTTCCAGGCCTCCCACACGGGGCCAGAGCAGATGGGCTTGGAGGATCGCGTCGCATCGCAGATGCAACGGCGTCTCTGCACGGTATGGATCCTGAATTTCTTGATCCAGACTTCGTCGACGCATCACCAAAGCATGCCTATTTGGTGCAATCCCCCAGCCCCAGCTACCCTCGCTCCATGTGGAAGTATTCACAGGAACCAGCCGATGACAATCTCAGGGGAATGCCCTCGAAAACTGAGTGCTGGGCCTGAAGGCCCTAAAGATCGGCGGGACCGGCGTCATCGGGTAGGATGCGGGCCCCAGGGGGCCCAGTGTCACAAAGTCTTGCCGTCTTGGCTCGTGACGGTCACGGGAGGTCTGGATCAGTGCCTCCTGGTCCTCCTCTCCAATAGGCACGGGGGCACGGACCATTAGGCATGGGGGCACGGAGAGCACAACAGGGTGAACACCTTTGGCGTGTGACAATCACTCCAGGGTGCGCCTTACATCATATCATCCGACATTACTCGGTGGGAGGTTTGCAGATGTCCAGAATCAGTTACCATACCACCGAGCTGCACTGTCCTGTTCCACTGGGGTTTGAGAGCTCTCCTCGAAGGTCAAGTCCATGATGGCGGTTGCGGCGAAGGTCTCCGCCACCGCCGCGTCGTTGTGGAAGAAGCCGCCAGCAGAGGATGATCGCCTGCATCGTCATGTCATCGCCTTCTCCGCCACCTCATCCTCAACCGTCTCCTTCTTCTTTCCCCAGCGTTATGTTCCTCCATCGCCTGCTCTTCCTCCCCCGTATACTCTTCTTCTGCCTGTGCAATGTCGGTGTTATCATCGCCCCCTCATACCTTGATTTGCGAGATCATTCGGCGAGGACGTGCCCAGTGAGGATGCATCAGTCTTTGCTGGTCGGCAACGGAGGGAGAGAGAAAGAGAGAGAGAGAGAAAATAAAAAAAAACAAGCGAATCAGAGATCTGTCTACGTACATATATATATGTGGATATATATATATATATATATATATATATTGTCTGTATTCACATCGACAGAACGAAGGATGATGAGAATGAGAAACGAGAAAGAGAGAGAGAGAGAGACACACACACAGGACGACGAACAGGACTGGCTCGCCGAGGAGTCCCCGTTTTCCCCCTCTGGGCGCTCCACAGGAGGTGCTCACGGCCGGGGGCCGCGTGGGCGGCCCTGGGCCTGGGAGGCCTTGGCGTGCCGGGCCGCGTCGGGCGTGCGAGCCAGCCGCAGTGGCCTTCGCGGGCTCTGCGGCACTGGGGCCACGCGCGCCAGGCACCCGATGGAAGAGTGCGACACTCAAGCAGTGGCGAAGCGTCCTGGCGTGCCTGCAGGCCTACCAAAGAATGTTCTAAGAACCTTTTGCGGTTTCCACGACATGTTCTGTGTTCTTAAAACAATGTTGGTTGGGACTGCCTTGTTTTAGTACATCGGGCTTATGTTCTAAGAAACTTGTGCTTATTATAAGAACATGTTGGGCTCTAAGAACATCTCGTGGTAGGCCTATAAGAATGCCGGGACGGTCGGTCCCTGCTCAAGAAACGCCCGTCCTTGCGAGAGCCGGTGACCCATCCGGATTTCATCTCGGCGACAGATCTCGACTACCTGCTTGCGCGCCGCCCAAAAGGCTGGCAGCGAAGCAGTTGCCCAGGCCGCGCTCGATAGTCAGCGCACTGAGCTTCAACAGGCTGTCGTCCGCGCTCTGTCTACGTCCATGTTTCCCGACACCTTCGTCTCCAAAATCGCCAAGCGTTGGAAAGTGTTGGATCCGAAATCCGACGTGCCTGCCGATTTAGAGCTCCGCTGGCAATCACTGCGGCGCGAGCTCGCGCAGATGCCACCAGCCCACCACTGGTGCGTGGTGACGACGCTGCGCGCGGGCTGGATCACGTCCCACAGTATGCATGTCCTGAAGCCTCGTCATTGCCATTTCAATTTCGGCTGCTCGCCACGGGATTCCATGTGCCACTGCTGGCGCAGCACCCACGTCTCGCACATTTCACCGCCCTCCCGCGGGCCCTCCCGAGTCCGCGCTTACCCGCCGTGTGGGAACTCGGCTCCAAGCATCGGAGGGCACCAACTATACACCAACACCGATCCTGGCCCAGGATCACCCTGGGCCCAGGATCGGTGTATATGCCTTCTTGCCCAAGGCAGGAGGGCGTATACACCGATCCTGGGCCCAGGGTGATCCTGGCCAGGATCGGTGTTGGTGTATAGTTGGTGCCTTCCTAGAGCAGGGCCGTGCACCCCCAGACGACGCTCGCCCGGCGGCCATCCGCAGGATGTCCGTCGCTTCCCTACCTTTTCATCACGCCGTGCAGCTCGAGCCTCGCGCTCTGCCGGAGCGTCGGAGAGAGCGCGCCGCCCGGGGGGCTCTCTCTGGCTTCGCTCACGGCTGCCTCCTGGCGGCCCGCCAGAGCGCAGAGCTATGAGCTGTGGGTGGATACTTTTCAGGAGCGACAAAAGGACGTACGAGAGTACGCATTGCGCAAATGTTCGTATAACGCGGCCGGTCTCGCGGATCGAGGGGCCGTGTTCATGTACATAGCTGGGCGCGTACGTCCTTTGTGGGCTCCCTAACTGTTGCGGGGTGGGTGGGTGTGGCTTGCATTCTCTTGGGCGGGGCATTCGTGTCAGAAGTTGTCGCGGCGAATCCGTGCTCCCGCATCTGGCCGTTGAGCAATGGCACGCCGCCTATTCAGATTCGGTCGGACCTCTTCCTTTTCCCACGGTCCACTGCTCGATCGTGGCGAGGTTCCGCCTCTCTCAAATCGAGTGTGCCAGCCTCTCTTCGGATGGGTCGGCGCGCCTCAGGCTACTCCTCCTCCTCCTCCCTCTTCCTCCTCCTCCTCCTCCTCCTCCTCCTCCTCCTCCTCCTCCTCCTCCTCCTCCTCCTCCTCCTCCTCCTCCTCCTCCTCCCCCTCCCCCTCCTCCCCCTCCTCTTCCTTCCCCTCCTCTTCCTCCCCCCCCCGCTTGACTCCGCGGTCGAGCATCTCTGCCTCGTTCACCCGGGGGCCGCTGGTGGGCCCCCGAGGTCCCGCGGGGGCCTCCAGAGGCAAGAGGGCCCAGGCCGGGGAAACGCAAGACTCGAGGTTGTCGAAGCTCGGGTCTGCCGCCGCTCTTTCGCGGTCCTGGCGCAGGAAGATCTTCGCAGCCCAGAGGCCGTCATGCGTGTACAGCCGGAGCGCGGGTCGAGCATCAGACTGGGGCCCGTCGTGTTTCTGACGGCGCCACCAGACAAGCTCGGGCCCCCCAAAACTCGAGTCTTCCGTCTCTCCGACCAGAGCGACAAAACCGCAGCATGATCATCCTCCTCATCACCATCATCATCATCATCATCATCATCAGCATCAGCATCAGCATCAGCATCAGCATCTTCATCACCATCATCAGCAGCATCATCATTATCGTCCTCCTCATCTACATCATCAACATCACCACTACCATCAACATCACCATCATCACCATTATCATCATAATCGTAATCATCATTATCATCATCATCAGCATCATCATCAGCAATACCCTCATCACTATCATCATCGTCACCAACATCGCTACTATCGCCATACTCCTCCCCATCGTCATCACCACCACCACCACCGTCATCATCAGCATCAGCATCAGCATCGTCGTCCTCGTCACCCGCATCTTTAACATAATCATCAAAATCATCATCACCAAAAGTATAAGCATAATCCTCAACACCATCATCATAATCATCCTCACTATCATCATCGCCATCATCACCAGCATTTTCGTCATCAACAATCATCGTCATCGTCATCACCACCATCGCCGTCGAAACCATCCACCGTCGTCGTACTCACCTCGCGGCCTCACCCACCCCTTCCGCCGCGCGCCTCAGGAACAAGGCAGCTGGAGACGTCAGGCGCCCTGTCCTCATTCGACGCGCGCGCGCGCTCGCACCGCACGAGCAGGAGCGGCGGCGATTCTGGAGAAGAGGAGGAGGCAGGGGAAGGGGCATAATTCCTCATCTCCTACTCCCTCCTGCACCCCCCCCACCCCCCAACACACACGCACACACACACACATACACACACAAACACAAACACTAACACACTGTCCCTCATCCCGTCTCCCTTCCATGTGCGGCTCCTTCCTCTGGCTCTCCCTGCCTTCGTAACCCTCCGTCCTCCTCTCTCCCTCCGTCTCCTCTGCGTAAGGCCAGTTGCCAGTCCAAGGGGGTGTCCTTGGGCGCACTCTGTGCGAGATTCCCTTGCCCGAACGGCAAAGCCTCACACGCGTTCCCCGGGCGCTGCCACACCGCCCAAGGTGAACCGTGTTCTTGTCGCTCACGACGAAGAGCCGTCGCCGGCCAGGCCAGGGCCAGCATGGCATCGCAAAGACAGGAGCAAGCGCGCAGACGCGCGTACGCTTCTTCGCGGCGGGGCTGCAAGAGCACGATTGGAGATCCATCGCAGCACAATGAAAAACTCGTTGTATGCCATGCAGTCACGTGGGCCCAGGTTCTGAACTTGCATTAGGTGCAATCGTACGAACTTGCCCATGGCCGAAGTGCGCAGGCTCTGCCCCACAAGGACCAGGTTGCAGCAACACCGACATCACACAGCGAGGCAAGTGAAGAGACAGCCCAGTAGGAGGAGCGCCAATGGCAGCGACGTCCTTGAAGGGCAAATTTTAAGCAGTGGCTGCAAAACGAATGGGAGTACCAGAGCAACCTCAAGCCACAGTGGGCCAGGCCCACAGCACCAGTTCCATGGTCCACTCGGTCAAGGCAACCGAAGGAGCCTCTGATGGATGGACCAGCTCATCCCGCCAGAGCAGAAGCTCATCGCTTGCGGATTCAAGTGCCCAAGCAGGCCAAGAAAGTGCCTGGCCACGCGCGCCAATTGAAGGACCAAACTGGACGGACGGCACCGAGAAGCAGATCCGCGTGGGGTACGAGCTAGGCCACACCAAGGACAGGATAAACAGCTTGGAGGAGGACTTCGCGGTTACCCCTTTCTCTAAATTTCCGATGCCCGCCATCCAGAAGGTAACTAGCCAGAGACAACACGTCTACCGCATCAAGAAAAGAGTGCAGGAGGCGGAGAAGCATGATGAAAATGCGTTTGTGAATTTTTAGGTCGTGGAAGTGCAAGCATAGCATGTACAGGAGGATCTTGCCCGTGCTGAAGAGGTGCTTCGTCGTCACTTTGAAGAGGCAGAAGGGCTGGCCAAGATCGCTAAGAGGGAGATCGTCGAGGACGAGAATGATGACAATAACAGCTCCGCGCGCCCCCCTACGCGCAAGCCAGACAAATGGTTGCAGCAGCAGATGCAGCCCCACAGCCAGCGGCGACGGGTGGTGACAACACCCCAGAGTACCCAGCCGCCACGCAGGCCAACAACGTGCAGATGATGATCTACATGTCTCAACCTGCAGCGCTGGTCACATCCATCCAGAGCTGTGCGGCACAGGCGGGTATCCAGACAGGGCCCACATCAGCAACACCAGCTGCAGTACCAGGCGCACAGGGAGCAGCGCCACAACCAGAGCATGCACCACAGAGCGCAGCACATGCAGCAGCACCGCACGCAGCACTTCCCGAGGTATCCCGAGGCAGTACTACCATATGCATTGCCAGCAGAGGCCCCAGCAAAGGCGCATGAGACCAGCGCGAAAGCAGCGGGAGAAACAGCGCCCAATGCAGTCACAGCCGTGGGCGCGCGTGGAGGCGCCGCGGCCAGCGCGGACAGCCATTGGGGCCCGGTCGCTCAGCCCAAGCCCCAAGGCAACGCTGCGCGCAAGATCGCCATCGACATGAATGCGAAGCACGGCCAAGTCAAGAGCGCCCAGGCCCTGGCCAAAGGAGGCGAGGGCGTCAGGGAATGCGGGGAGGAGGTTGAGATGGACGAGGAGTCTGAGCCATAGGTCTGCCTTGAGCCCACCTCCTCCCAAGTGCTCTGTTACGGACTGAAACAATACGGCATCCCCGTCGAGACACATCCTGTCTTTTCAGGACCTCTTACCCACCCTTGTGGAAACGACTCCAGCGAGCTTCGATACCACGACTGTTCAGACGCGGGGATTTGCCGCGAGTCCCATGCCGCCAGCGGGACCAACGTTGCACCTGCTCACGTCGCCAGGGGAGTGTGAGCCGCGCGTGGACACGCTAGCCTGCGTTCTCTGTTGGCATTATGCAACGATTCGGGGTCTGGCAGACGTGGGCATGTCATCAGCCGATCAGTTGCCCACGAGAATCGGCGTGTAGAACGAGCCTACTAGTCTGCGCGCGCGGAGTTCGAGGCGGCCACGCGGGCTGCCAAGCGGTTGATTGCGGCGCAGTCTGATCGCAAGTGCGCAGTGTCTTTTCACGGCGACAGCACGGCAGCGATACAAGTGGCACAACTAGTTGGCGCACGCGGCGCGCCGCGTGAATCCAAGGCGGCGCTGGGCGGCATGGCGCGGTTACTATCGCGCACGTTGCGCGCGAGTGCCTGGACGCACGCCCCAGGGCGCAGCAAGAATGCATGGAACGAGCTAGTTGACACAGCGGCGCGCCTGATGTCGTGCGACGCCTTTCCAGCGACGCCAGATGGCACGTGGCGCACCTCGCTGGATCTGCCGCGGCGTACTCGAACGACCGTGAACCTAGGCAACAATTTAAACAAAAAACAACACCGCTCTCCCTCCCGACAAAAGACAACTACCCATTGCCCAAACATGGCGCACAAAAGCCTAGCTTAGGGACTGCATCCTGGAGCCCCAGCAGGTCCCAGACGCCCCACAAACAGAGGCGCAGCTTCGCGCCCTCACGGCGTCTTCACATTGGGCCCCCAAGCCCTGCGCGAGGCCGGCCTTGAAGAAGGCCCTCGCAGAGGCCCCCCTATTGGGCGCGTAAAATTTTGGGCGCGCAACTTGCGAGGTGCAGGCATCTCCTGGCGGGCGCCACTGAACCTAGACCGCCTATGTCCAAGACCACCGCTGTAGGTGACTGCCGCGTGCTTATCCCGCCAGCTATGCCACAGAGTCAGGGCTGCGCGACGCGGGCGGATACTGCGGCACCATATGCCGAGGGTCTGCGCCTGCAACCGCGAGCGCAGTGTACCGCGCTAGGAGCCTACCAGACTAATTGCGGCCACGCGCGCATCGCGCATGCGCTGCGACGTCTTGCTTGCGCGCGCCCTGCATGAAAGACAACGTGCCCAGCGCGGTCCAGCGCGTCGCGCAGCGGCGGCGCGCAGCCCGCGCGCGCGCTGCGACGCGACGCGGGGGCATGCATCATTGGCGTTGATGCGAATGCTAGGCTCTTTCCAGTTACTTCCCCAGCAGCCGGGGACGTGCGCGCAGGGCAGCAGACGCTTGCAGGCGAAAGGTTCCACGACTCCTTGCAGGAGACGGAGCAGTGGGCTCCGTTTACTTTCTTGCCACCCATGTCAGGTCGCGCTGCTGCCGGCGCTGCGCGGGGCAGCGGAACCGACCGACAGCGCCGACCGGATTATGTTGCCGCGTCTGACAACATATTGGTTAGCAAACAGGGGGTTGGATGATCGGATTGATCTCGCAGGTGCGCATGAGGATCATAGAGCAACAGGCGCCTGCTTACATCTCGCTGGGCTCTTTTCTCCCCAACCCCGCCGCGCAGGGGCCGCGGGGCCCCGCGCGATCCTGCGCAGTTTGCTGAAACCACCGAGGGGGCATATCAAGCCCGGCCGGCAGATTGCCCACTGCTGCCTTTCGAGCTCAGCGCCGCCGGCCACGGGCAGTTTTGCGACGAGCACGCACGCGCAGCGGCATAAGAAAGGTTTTCACCTCGCAAGTCGGGCAGGGGAAGAGGATACAGGCAACGTTGGATTTCACAGCGCGCGTTGGATGCGATCGAAAAGCGCACCGTGGCTCTCAGGATGGCACGACGTTCGCATGAGTTGCGCGCGCGGCAGTACTTGCAGCATCTATCTTGGCATGGGCCGAATTTAGGAACGACGGGAAGGCGCGGGGGGTGCGCGGCATGTCATATCTATCACTGGACCCCCAGGGCATTGCGACGATTCCGAGAAAGCGGAACGAGTTGTGAACGGACAACAGCACCTGGCATAGTGCATGTTCTGGCGCGCGACATCACGGTCTAACGGCACGACGCAGTGCCGGCGCGAAGAGGGGGCCCGACATGGCGCTCCAGAGGTCCTTTGGTTTCTAAGGATATGTTCCTATATGGCGAGAGCGCCTCAATCATACCTGAGGCGAACAGCAGGGAGCGATGGGCTTACAGCGCACGCCGCAACATTCGCAAAACCATCGGGGCCATAAGCGCTGTCATGGAGATCCCCATAGCGCGCATCAGATATCAAGCCAAGCAAAGCACCAAGCTTGACGCCTTGCAGCCATAAGTCTGACTCGCTTCGGACATCTCGTCAGAGTAGCCCAAGCACCAACCCGACCTGACACTCAAGCGTCTTCGAGGCGTGGGGACACGTTCCAAGAAGAAGAGGAAGCTCGAGCCAGCTACGGCGGCACAAGTTGTGACAGGCAGACCAGCCACCGCGGCGTTGGAGGCGGCCAACACGTGGCTTGCGAATTTTAGTCACGAGGAGCTCAGTTCGATTGCGCCAGTGGACGCCGCGCAAGTGTTGCTGTCCTCCTTTGCTCAGCTGTCACGAGCACTCACTCACGACATCCCAGCAGAAGAAGATGTCCTGCCAACTGCACGCGGGTTTCTGGCCGCATGTGTGACAGCGAGGTCAGCGGCCAGCCTGGGCGGCGCGCCAGGAGGGATGGCCCGACGGCTTGGCGCGGCTTTGGGCTGAGTTTATCATCATCGTATGTTATGTAAAGCGGTCCTACGATCAGAAGAGCCGGCTCAGTGGAAAAGAGTTGCCATTGGGAAATTTGGAAAGGGCGCCGCGTGCCCCCCAAAACGTGCGTTC